GACGTCACCTGGTGGTACTAGGGTTAAAATACTGTAACGTTTAGGTACTTATTTATTCAAGCTATTTATATCTCAAACACTTGTATACTTTTTATTTTAACAATAATAATCTTAACAATTCGATCTCTCGACTAAAACTGAGGCAAAGTAGTTTCAGGTGACCATCTTGAATGTTCTATACAAAATTCTAGTCAACAATCTCCCAGCTGTCCACCATTTTTTTGAATAGCGCATTCACCAAAATTGATGACTCTAGGAGGTTCCGATCGGTGTATCTACCAAATTGCAGAAATCAGTGGTTCACTACGATTTAAATGACTAATCATAGTATTCCAATAAGGGGGGGGTTTAGAGGTTTACTCATCTCGTCAAATATTCTTGAGTGAAGACCGTAAAGGCTTAGACAAGACAGAAATGAACTTAAAGATCAGAGCAGGATCGGATTAATTGAAAATTACTCACACGACAATATTATAAAAAGTCAAGTTATATAAAACTTCGAAATTTGCACATCTGGATTTTTTATTGAAACCTATACAATAAACTCTATCAAAAAATGAGGGCTGCCGACCGAAGTTTCATCAATAAGAGCGTGTATTTTTATATGCACAACTTTTGGCCTATTTCCTTCTTTAATCTGGCGGTCTCGAATTGCGGACCCACCTCCTGATTTTATTAATACGGTACTCGAATTGCGCACTAAACCAAAAATATAAATCAGGGAATGATAAATTATTGTCATTTAGACGTACTATTTTTAATATAAAATTAATAAGTTTTTACAGAAATTAATTTCTATTAATCAGCTAAACTACAATATTATATACAATATATTATGCTGTAGGAAAAATGTATAAAAAATATGACAGTAAACTAAAACCAAAATGTGCTAATTGTTTATTTTATACATACAGGGTTCATTAATTGAGTGCCGATGCTTAAAGGTGTGAATCCTTGGGTAATTTGAAGAAAAGTTAATATCAAAATATGTCGTAAACCTCTTAATTTTTGAGCTACAGGGTGTTACAGTTGCATATTAGAATACATTAATATTTTTCATTGGTTTATTTTTTCCGAACCGTTATTAAAATAGTTCAAAATAAATACCGAAAATAAATAACATGTATATTATGATAAAAAACATATATTTTAAATAAATAAACAACATTAGTAGTATTTTTTCAGTTTTCATATTTTTTCAAAATTAAAAAAAATTAAAAGAAGATAATTCATCGGGAATTGAACAAGCGTCATGAAATGGTCGCGAAATGCCAAGTTGAAAAGTTGTACCATCAGCGCTATCACAGTTTTATTATTTGACTCATCTAATTATATATGTATATGAATCAGGAAAAACAAACATAATGTTGGTAGTTACTTTAAAATTCTTTTAATCTCTGTTAGAAAGAAATATCTAAGATCTAGATTAAAAATTATTGTTAGCAATTTAATTTAAAAAAATGTGAGGCGTACCGTTTTTTTGTATCCAAATATTCAATATCTTGCCTACGTGGAAGTCACTGGTTGAAGTTAAAAATTACTTTTGCTCCAAAAAAAAAGGTTTCCACGCATGGTAGGTGCCTACCAAATTTCAACAAAATATAAATAATTTAAATATATATAAATATAAAAAATCCTTTAACGTCAAAAAATGATTTAAAAATGATTACAAAATTTCATTAAAATATCTGAAGTGATAAGAAAATTATGATAAAAAAGTTATTTTCTTCTTAAAAGTGTAGCTCAAAAATTAAGAGGTTTGCGACATATGTTGATATTAACTTTTCTTCTTAAAATCACCCAAGAATTCACATCCTTAAGTATCGACACTCAATTATTAAACACTTTGAATAAGACAAACATTTAACGTAGTTACATCTGATAATTTCTTTACGTTTATATTGACAAATTTTAGTGGTTAAAAAATATGATCTCTTTCTAATTTTAGGATCACCTATTCTAAGTTTCTCAGAGTCGGATCAAAGTTTAATACTCGTATCTGTTTGAAACTGTGTTAATATGTTTAAAAAATTAAATATTGTTGGATCAGAAGAATAAAAATATTGTTCGATTGATTTCGATTGAAAAACACATTTCTGTAGGAAACCTTGCATCTTTGCCAATATAAAAATATACCAAGTAATCAGGTAGATGTTTGCCAATTATCGGGTAGATGGAGTTTAGATATCCTTTTGTCTTTGGTGCGTAATTTACGTATTTTGGTCCTCAATTCAGGTACACCCCTTTAATCGAATGTATATAAAACAATGAGGTGAACGGCTCCATGTGCCCTTCATCTAATTTATCACACACCTTTGTGATCTGTAGTTCTATTGTATATTTTTGAACAATATAGTACTTACGGGGTGCGATCAGAATTACTTTTGTCATGGGTAATTGCATTTTTGCATTGAAAATTGTGATATTTATTTTGGTTTACATATGCTTCATATTATTAGAAACTTATTTGACCCAATTAAGAACCTGTCACTGATGTAATTAATATTATTATAATACTTTTGTAAATAGTTGTAATTATGAAATTTTCAATGAATAAAAATATTGTTATTGTTATTTTACGTTATGTCAAAATGATTGTAGGTCAATTTTGGCCAGCTTTTCATATAACATTAAAAGTTATATGCTTATCTATATTAGAGATTCAATGTTTATATAACTTCATTGTATAAAGTGTTTTTAGTATTCCAATAGAACAGTCGTATACCTCTTTAGCATTGACATAATGTACGGAACCATAAATTCTTAAACAAGCCGAATTTTGAAATGTATTTTAGAATACAGTTGTCAAGGTATGTAATTATTATTTTTCATTCATGAACTATGGTCATAAATCACAAAATAAAACAAATAATATAAGTTCGTTTGATCTCATAAAAATACAACTAAACGTCACATTTTGTTTTTGACAATACTCTAAATTAATGATGATGTAATTTTGCTTCTATTGACAATTAAAGTGACAGTACACTTTTTAATTGCGTATTTTTCGTTTCGTTTACCTATATTATACAGTTTTACAACTTTTATAAATATATTCCTAAAACATTTATCAAATATATAATCCTTTAGTTACCAATTATAAACCTTTAAACTATGTTTTATGACTTGCAAACAATATTTAGAAAAAACTAAAAAACTAAAAAGATATATGTCAACTTAAATAATGTTTTTGTTAAAAGTTTGATTAGAAGTGGAGCCAAACTGGCGTCACGCTATTATGGCGTAGAGCCTGAAAATATTATGGCCACTTTTGACATTAAGAAGAGGCTAAAAGTTACTAAAAACAATTTAAACTTTCATTGGGGTACTAAAAACTTTATATAAATAACTAGTGGTCAACAAAAAATATTTCTAGAGTATGCCATGACCAACAAAGACAAAGATATGAGTTATATCCGCCTTTCAATTAAATCCAAACTGTGTCACTTAAAAAAAGGAGATATGTACACTCTGTCTACCGTGCTTTTTTTAAATGGCCTATTTTAGAAACAAGTTTTGTAGCTCAATCCATAGATTTAAGTAATTTATTGCTCAATTTTAGAATTTGGTTCTCCAATACGGTATTGTATAGTCGTTTCCTATATTTTTAATCAGAGAATCTATATTTGTTCTATGTCCCATTCCTAATTGAACACCCTGTATAAAGCGTTTTGTTTTCCTCTTTTCTTACAACTCCTAAATATACTTTTTTTTTATTTTACTAAATTATTTTATAATTTTCCTAATCTTTGATCAGTGTTTTTACAAAATATTAGTTGATTTCTATGAGTATGATATTTGCAGCATGAGTCACAGAACAATAATTTAAAAAATAAGGGCTGGCAAGTAGCGTTCCTTGTGAATTTAACACTATTCTTTACCAATTTTAATAAGTTTTATCCTTTTTTTTTTAATTAAACTGATATTTAGATAATTATTTAAATACAATTTTTGGGAAATAATAAAAATTAAAAATCCCTAATTTTCCCTACGAAATTAAGAAATCTCCAAAGCTACAACAAACCAAAGAAAAATTGAAGAAGCTGAGAAATTAGGAATGAAAAAATAAGTATATTGACCGGGGATCAAACCTAGAACCTTGAACTTTTTGAAATCAATTAGATTCCGATTCTTGCTGGTACACATTCAGTCTCAACTCCTTTAATTCTCGTTAAAGCCACCCTTTCGATATTGTTTACAAGGACGATAATTAAGTAATATTGTACTAAAACAAATTCTAGCTCCTTCATTCGTTGAAAGATTCAATAAAAAGAAAGTGAAGTAAGAAAAACTAAATGCAATTTTTGGAAGATATTGAAAAATCCCTATACCCCCTAATTCCCCCTCAGTTGGTAAGAGCGCTGTGCGTAGAACAGCAATAGGTGGATTTCAATCCCCCGCAGGCAGATATTTTTCAATTTTTTATTAAATTTGTTTTCACCTTGGACGTTCGAAAATAATAGAGTTGAAAATATGAGTTGAAGTTGTTAAATACATCATGACATTTACGTATTGTGACAGATAAAGACAAGTAATATTAGGATTTCTTCTTTCCCAATTAAAAAGAGGTTGTTTTATTTGCGTTACGAGCATACGCCAGAGACCGTAAGCTTGCGTATGAATGTAGACGTGAACGTGAAGATTATTTTAATACGCATGCGCAGATGTCAGTTTTTACGTATACGTTTACGTTCATAACATAACTTTAACTCTCTAATGTTCATTATTTCGTATTGGATATATTGTGATTTGATTGGATATTTCCAAGAAATATATTTTGTATTATAGCCGTAAAAAACTATTTATTGAAACGACTACAATACTTATAGACTAATTCATGTACATATTTATATAATTTTTTTTGTAAAAAATGTAATATTTATGTTGTAACCAATGTAATAACTATGTTGCTTGATTTGAACGTTGAAGGCGTGAAATCTAAAACTTATACCAAAATGAAATCTCATTGTATTTATTGTATTAATAAAAAAACATTGTTACCATATTTTAGCAGATTTTTATTTACAGTCGTATTAAAAAGATATTCATTTAAAAAAATCGATCCTAATGTCAATTTTGTTATTCACGGTATTTCAGCATATCAGAATTAGGTGACTCTAACGTGATACTAAAAATACCAAGATGCCCATGTCTAATTCTTAGATTATTTATCGTTTATAGACAAATTAAACACATTTATTCTGTCTTTCGATAAATTTAACTTTCAACATTGCATTTTTTGTCCTCAAAACCAAATCTGGTATTAGTACAATACTATCTGGCGTATCTATAGGTTCTAAAATAAAATTTCGTAATATTCCAGACAAAACTGATTTTATTTCCAAAATGGCGAATCTTTGACCTAAAACAAAAAATAATATTAAGTATATGGACAGTTTTATGTACCAATTTAAAAAGCTTGTGAACGAAGTGTATAGGGTGTGACACTTAAAAGTTGTACCACTTTTTCTTCATCTTCACCAAATAATACCAATGCTTTGGAAAAGCACAATAAACAATGTCTATAAGAAATCCTGTCCCCTGAGGTTGGACCAACACGATCAGATGACTGCCGTATAGTGGTATCACGAGTTGGATCACCTTAGAAAGATGGCTAGAAAATCTTTTAATAAGGCAAGAAACACAAAACTCAAAGTACGGGGATACTCACCTTAGAGAATACAAAAAAAATCCTTAGACAGCAGGCAGCGAGGCTTCAAAAATATCTCTCATAAGATCAACACCGCGACATTGTGTACTAATCAAAGAGGATGGCATGAAAATTGCCAACCTCGAAGATAAAATTAAACTTCTGCTGTCAACACACTTCCCTAACTTGGTCATCACAGACGTAGCCGATTGGGCAGAGGAAAAATACAACCAATCTATATAAGATTGCCAAACTACCAAACACATTGTAGACGATAACAAAATTAGATGGGCAATATCCAGCTTCTCTCGAATTAAATCGCCAGGACCTGACGGTATCTATCCAGCCCTGCTTCAGTGTGGTATATCCCTAAAAAATGCAGAGAGAGATATTCATACCCAAATATGGAAGGATAGATTACATTGTCCCAAAAATATACCGACCAATAATTAGTCTGAGATCGTTTTCCATAAAGACATTGGAAAGGCTATGTGAAAGATACATCAGGGATGCGGTTACTAGAACAACAACAACAACAATACTACATCCAAATCAACATGCATACACCCCAGGCAGATCTACTGATGTAGCCCTTCTCCTAGTTGCTGGACAATAAGGGTGTTTTCATTGATATAGAAGGTGCTTCTGATAAAACTACCTTCCCTTAGATAAAACACTTACTGACCAGCAGGATACATAACATACTTTCAAAGCGAGCAGTAAATATTAGTGTAGAAGATAAGAATATAAGAGGCTTGTTTGCGAGGGGATGTCCACAGGGAAGGGTACTATCAGTTTTACTATAGAACATGGTCCTCGACACCCTCATCAAATAGCTGCCTCAATAATGGCAGTCACTACAAAATAGCATTTGTAGATAACTTGGTCATTCTGCAATGAGGGAATTTTAAGAAAATACTCTGCGAAAGAATGCAAGTAACTCTCAAAATTATTTATCAGTGATGCAAGGACCATTCACTGTCTATTAATCTTAAGAAGATAGAAATTATCCTTTTCACAAGAAAAAGAATAAAATGGAATTAAAACCTCCAGAACTCCTAAACCCAAAACTATACTTTGCAACAGAGGTAAAAGACCTAGGTCTCGCCTTTTACAGCAAGTTAACATAAAACTTACACTTAGAATACAGAGTCAAATGAGCATGCATTGCTTATGAACAATGCCGTTGAACCGTGAGGAGCACCCGAGGTTTCTCCCCCAGAGTCGTTGCACGGACTTACACGGCCATCATATCCCTATGCTATCCCTATGCTAACATACGGTGCCGAAAATTTAAAAATTGAAAGCTACCCCCAATCTAGAACAAATTCAAATGGCAGCATGTCTTAACATAACAAGGCCATGAAAACCACACCGACCAGAGCCATGGAAGTCATTCTTAGTCTCACTCCCTTGATATATACATACGGTTGGAATAGAACCTAATGTAGGTTCTGGTGAGGCGAGACGTCATTTTTGGCAGGAGCTGCTCGATACACTCCCACTGCTTCATGCAAACGTGAACTCCATCTCACAGAGGTAGATCTTCCATACGCCTTATAAAGTTATAACAGAACAAATAGAAGTGCAGAAAGTGGCAGGTACAATTATTCATATCTACACGACGGATCGAAAAACAATATCACTGGAAGGAACATGCTCATATATACAAATAGCAGACAAGCACTGCTCACCCTGAACAGACCTCGAATTTTTTCAGGGTTAGTAATATAATGTCACGAAGCTTTGGCCGAAGTATCCATCAACAATGTGGTTACCTTAAGATGGATCAAATGGTTATGCCACATCGAAATATAACCGTCTTGCTGATTCACTGGTCAAGAAGATAGCCAACCAAATATTTTTTGGACCTGACTCTACTATGAGCCTGACAAAATCGGTAGTGACAGACTTAGTTAAAGAGCAGTCCCTTATGTAATTTAAGAATAGATGGGATGAAACAAGAAACTGCAGAGTTGCCAGGAAGCTTTTAAGATATCCTGACAACACTACAGCAAAAAAATACTTGACTATCGATAGACAGAATCTGTTGAAAACAAAGCAAATGTTTATTACATTTCCAGTGACGGATTTCTAAATAGGCTAGCTAGGCTATAGCCTACGGCGGCAAATTTTTGTAGGCCACACATTTTCGAAGGCCAACATTTTATCCGTGATAACTAATACTTCTTTTCGATGCATTAGGAGAAACTAAAGCAGAACGACAAATAACACCAAAGAATCTGTTGTCCAGAGAAGATGCTTGCAAGGATTTATTAAAGTTTTGGAAGGATATTTACGATACTCTGAAATCAATTTCAAATGACAGTTCAGAGAAGATTATTACGAAAGCAGAATTAATCGAGATAATGACCAAATTTTTAGTATTATTCTGAATCGTATCAATGTATTGAGTAGAAAACGGGAAGACGCACATATTGGATTAGTCATCAAGTTGTACATTGCACTAGGCGCTAATTGATAAGAATAACTACACTACAACTTTTAGCTTGTACCAAATAGATTAAGTGTCATTTCGATAAAAGCACGATGAGGATAAATTTTTGTTCGGTGTTAAGCATGACTTCAAAATAAACGTTTTCCTTTCAAATAGTGGATCATGGAATTAATTCGTCGAAAATGACAGGGAGTTCGAGATTTTATAGGTTCTCTTTAAATTTGTCAATCTCTCTGTTGTATAAGCAGCGAAGCGTCAAAATTATGTAAAATTTACAAGATATTTCAGGCGATCTAGTTGAAGAGATATTGCATCTCAAAAAGTATTTGATAATAGAAGACAAAAATCATGTAAGTATCAACAATATGTGCAACTGGATTAGGGATCGGAATCTGCATGATATTTTTTTCTAATATTGATATAGTTTTAAGGATTTAAAAATGCTCAAAATATTCTTTCGCCTTAAATATGCCTAAAAAAAGATTGTACAATTTAACAGTTTTATGAATTGAATCTGACATTGTGAATAATTCGATTATATTTAACGATGTGATTAAAATTTTCGAAAATAGTAAATTCAGATGAAAAGTGTAGTGTGACTACGAAAGGAAATGCGATTTTTATTTAGTCTATAATGTGTAAATATAGTTTTTGTTATTATATTCTGGAATTAAGTTTTTGTTGTGTGATTCTAATAATCGTTTGCAAAATTTCCGTATTCCTAATTGTAGAGCCTATTTTTAGTTTTGCAAATAATATAGTATAGGCGGCGATATGGTTTAGCCTATAGGCGGCAAATTTGCAAATCCGCCCCTGAACATTTCTGCCTATATTATTAAACAATCTTTCTAAATACTACCAGAAGTGAGAATTGTGCAAATTTCCAAAGAATCAACAAAATGTCAAAAAAGTTTTAACCTATTTTGGTATTACTCTCGATAATGTATTTCACCCAAGAACCCAATTCATTTTCATAATTTTCTGTTCTTTAGTGGTTAAAATATGTATCCGCATTTTTGCAATGCATTCACTAGATAACCATGCTTGTCAACTGTTAACCACCTTTTACGTATATTACTGTCATTCTCAAATGCCAAATAAATTCTATAAAGTTTTTATACATTTTTTAAAGGATTTTATTTCACTGATTATTTATTATGAGTGATAAATAAAAATAATTGTTTTAATTTGAAATAAATGTGGATCTTTCACGAATAACATAGAGTATAAGAAAGTGTTGGAAATATTTCCAACACATTTCGCTGACACCTCAGGCCAACCCTACCTTAAATTAATTTAAAAGTTTCCAGATTGATAAATCACGATATGACCATCTCTGTCGCATGCATGAGCTACAAACTGTTTATATTAAGACTGTTATGACATAACATCCTACCTTTGAAAAGTCACATGGCAAACGCGCGAGAATATCCTTGGAAGGAGGTAGAGAACGGCAAATATGATGCCAAGTCACCAGAATGCACCAATCATATCTCATAAAAGTCAGTCGTCAGACACAAGCCGGTTCGCCGTTATCAGAATATATTCGTGCTTCGAAAAACACAAGCCGGTTCGCTAACCTTTTATAGAAAAAGACTTGATACCTTCTCAGGTAAAACATAAAATTGAAAAGGCATTTGGCCACGCCCCAGTGCATGACGCTAGTGATTAGTTTTTGGGCAAATTGAGCCACACAGCTTGTGTTAATTGTTGCAAGTATTTAAGATATTTTTGTTTTGATGTTCGTTATTAAATTTAAAATGGTTAGAATTAAAATACAATGAAAAGTAATATGTAAACTTTTACTTAGAGACCAAAATACCGTATGTCCTCAAATAATCGAGATACAGAGGACTGTCAAAAACCCACCATTTTGGTTTTTCACGATTTATTCAAAAACCTAAAATAACTGACAAAATGTACTAGCAGTTCTAAAATGATAATAGAATCCTGAGAAACATTGCACATTTAACCGATTTTGTAGTTCTTATAATAACCGAGATAGCAATACATGCAGCACCAATCTGGGACACAGTGTATAATGTACTCGTACATGCCTTAAAACTCACTGATTTCATAAATTATAAACATTGGCATAAAAACAATATTTTAACTCACTTTAAAAGTACCCGAAAAAAGGATCTGGATACTTGTATTCAAGTATATTTTTAGATAAAAGTATCCATACTTTTTAAAAAGTAGGCATTCGGATACATTGTAAGTATCGATATTCGGTACTCGGATAGTTTTTTCTGTATCACACCTATCCAACTCTGGCATGCGTAAGAGGTAAAAAGGGAAATATTTTTTACAAGAACAGACTTAAGAGGTAAGAGGCTGCAATATTTTTGCACAAGCAGGCTTAAATCCTAAATATTTTCACAAATCATTTGATCTTCAAACGATTAAAAGCCAATCAAAAGGCGACATTGAATGGTTCTTAAAAACCAGAGCTAGCAATATGACGAACATTTACGTAGTTTAGCTTAAGTTAGGTCAATGCCTGACATCTTAATATTTCTCATCTATTGATCTTTCGTTCAAAATCAAACCGTTTCTCTTTTTATGCTACGCGTTTGTTAGTGGAGAAATCTTCATTCCCAATAATGTGGGAACCACCGGTTTAGCACCTATCAAATTTTTATTTGATATCTTCTAACATGTACTTTAATTAATTAATTAATTAATTTCTTACCTATACAATTTCTAGGTCCCGCACTAAATGGAACATAAGAAAACGGATGTCTATTGACACAATTCTGCGGCAAAAATCGGTCAGGATCGAACTTCTCCGGAAGCGACCAATATTTGGGATTTCTGTGAATGTCGAAAACGTGAATATGCACAATAGTTTTTCTTGGTAAAAGGTAACCACTGACCAAAGTATCTTCGTCTAAAGTACGTGCTATAAACGATACGCTCGGATATAACCTCAAACTTTCCTTAATGAATCTGTCCATTATTTTCAGTTCGTTTAAATTTTTTAGGTCTGGACTTTCATTGGTTGCTCCGAGGACAGAAACGATTTCTTGGAATAACATTTCCTAAAAAATAGATAAAAACAACGCTATTTTTCAATGTATAATACATTTTGGACTAGATTGTTTCAACGAAGCCAATTTTATTGATTTTTCTCGACTCCAAACGTTTAATCTTGGGACCAAACAAATTCTTTTCTAATTCAACCATTTAGGTATAGTACAATTTTGTGAAACACTAGTTTTTTCTGCTCTACAAAATGGCGACTACCATCAAGGGGAATACGTTAGAAAATGGTGCTCAAAAGATCACGCAAGGTATTTATTAAATCTGCCCTTACCTGATAATTTGGATGATTCGCAAGTAACATTAGAGTGAAACAAATAGACATTGCAGTTGTATCATGTCCCTGAAAAATTCATATATTTAATTGACGAATAACCCTATCTTACATTATTTTTAAATATTTATGTAACAAAAAAATGCATTTATTAAATAACACAAAAAAGTTATAATACACTTTTCATTTGAATGTTCTAAAATCATAATCGGTCGCATTGATTTTATATATACCGATGTTGGTAAATTTATTTTCTTCTTGGATATGACGACATTTGAAAGGTTGGATATCCTTCTAAATTTTTAAATTGCTCCAATAGAGACCTATTCCATTATTGATGATCTCTATTACTCATCTGCAAATCCTACTTCGTCTTATTATTTATAAACAGAACACAGCTGAGTCGGACTTGGCTGAGTCGGACTTGGTTGAATCGTTCTTGAAGTTCGGTTACATCCCGTGAATTTAGAGATGTATATAACAGTTACAGATTTGCTAATATCCATCTCTAAATTCCAGTGTAACACTGGAACCATCTGGAACTTTAGAGGTGTTTCTAACCGAATTTCGATTTTAGTTCAAGGACGACTCACTCAAGTCCGACTGAGATCTTAATATCATCAAAATTTGTTGTTTTCTACCCTGAGTTCCAATTACACATCCTCAAATATCATTTTGTTTTTGCGGTTGATTGTATTTGTATTTGTATTTGTATTTGTATTTAACTTTTATTATTGATAGGGGAGCCAGTAACACTTTTGGATGTGTTTCTGCGTAATCCAAAATTACAAATATTTCGTTCATTTTTACTTTGTATAACACAGAAATACTTTTCTGCACTCCCTGCAGCAATGGAGCCCTCTACGACGACGTCTGTGTAGCCTGTGTATAAAATGATGTCATAAAAGCGCAAGCTTGAAACTTTCAGATATTATTTGGCTAACAATACCTTTTTGCTTTTTTATTAATTATAATAAATATTAAAAGGGGTGGGTGGCTCAGTGGTAGAGTCGCTGCCTGTGGATCCAAGGTTCCCAGGTTTGAATCCCACCGTTGGCCGGGATTTTTTTATTTAATTTAATTATTTGAAATTAATTTTGATGCCTTGGTAGGATTCCCCACTCGACCATTCACTGTTGGGTTCTAATTAACAGTGCTGTTTCCAAAGTGGCGCTGGGAAACAGTAACAAAGCCTACACAGAACACGAAGCTAATGGCCTTAGTAGTCGATGCCGTTGACACCAAATTAAAAAAAATAAAAAATTATACACTGAAAAAAATAGAACCTTACGTAAATACAACACATTATTATAACAATTTCATTTTCCAAACTTAAAGGTTTTCCACCACAATAAATATGGCAGCAACCTTTTTCTATTAGCATTTTCAACATCGGCTTTTTTTTGAAGACGTTGTCATCGAGCGCTCCAACACTGATGTGTCTGCAGCTAAGTATTTTTATCTTCTACAGGGTAATAATAAACGATACATTTATAATTTAGCCTTGTGTAAATATGTACGAAGAAATTTTCACTTACTCCCCTCTCTGGTTCTCCTTACTGGTTCCCCTCACTGGCTCCCCTCACTGGCTCCCTTATCTCTCTCTGACTACAAACAATAGTCACCCAAAAAAAACCTAACTATTTTTTAGTTTTCCTGATCAATAAAAATTAAAGCTAAAATGCTTTAGAGGATGTAGCCAAGAAAATGCAAAAAAGTCAAAAATAATAGCGCAGCAAAGAACAAAACTTACCTAAACAGCCACAGTGAGTAAACCTGTTAATAGAAGCAATCTTATAGACAAATTTTGATCATTCAGCCAGACAGTATCTGGTGAAAAGGAAGATAAAATAGACCAAAATCAAGATTCAATCATTACCAATACTCTCCACCAAATATTGGAACAGCTCAACATAATGGATGAACAAATACTATGTCAGAATAGGAGCTACACCTAAGAGACAATATGATGAGTAATATGCTAATAATAATGGAATGAAATTTCAATTGACTACATTGAAGCACCAACAAGAATTGCAAGAAAGTCTAGACATAGAAAACATAGACATATGCTTAATTTCAGAGACTCACTTTAGCAATGAATTCTTTGTTAAATTTAAGGGATATAAGGTTTATTATACCTATTATCCCCAAAATGCAGTAGGTAGGAGTAGCGCAGTAATAATTAGAAAAGTAATTAAGAATAAAAAGCGGGATTCAGGACTGAAGATTATCAGGCTACTTCAGTAATGATAAAATCTAAAATTTATGATGTTATGATTACTTCTACATATTGTCCTTCAAGACATACCGCTAAAAAAGAGCAATTCTTAGACTTCCTTAATCGTCAAAGACCTAAATTTATCATTGGAGGCGACTTCAATACAAAACATACCCTGACTAACAACAACTAAGGGTAAAAATCTAAAAGCAATAACACAGCTAAAATGTTAGTTGCATTCAACTTGCAAACCAACTTATTGACCCACAGATAGAAATAAAATATCCAACTTAATAGACTTTTGTGTTGAACGAAATATTTCAGTAAACTACATCCAATTTGATGAGACATGGGGCATGAATTCAGATCATTCGTCATTCTTCTCACTTTTAGTGACACCATTATCCAAAAGGAAAGTGTTTATAGACTAATAAACAGAACAGACTCGCAAAGCTTCAGACTTGATCTTGAAAGGAAAATAAATCTTTCAGTTCCGTTAATAATAACAGCACAGCTAGATGAAGAAGTAGAACTACTTGTGTCTAACATACAGCAAACAGCATGGAATAATAGCCCACCTATTTCTTAACGAATAACAGGAAATAACTATCCTAAAGAAATAAGGGGCCTAATCTGTGCAAAAAAAACTACGGAGGAAATGGCATCAGACCAGAGCTTCATAGAATACAATTAACCTTAACAACGCTATCCATCAGTTAAAAAGAAAGATAATACGAATCAAAAATAATTCTATTAGTGATAACGTTAATGAGTTGACAAACAATAAAGTCACTGATTATTCTCTATGAAAAGCCATAAAGCAATTGAGAAGGCCCACTGTGCAGAATGCTTCAATTAGGAATACAAATGGCAGCTAGGCTAGAAATAACGTTCAAAAAGTTAATAGATTCGCAGAATACTTACACAATAACTTCCTACCAAATGAAGGAGAAGAATTGCCCTACTTTGATCTTCCAGAGAGAGAGAGAGAGAGATGACTTATTCATCAGATCAACCTTTACAATGGAAATTACAAAAGATATAAAAACAAATATTGATCCTAAGAAAGCACAACTTCCGAAGAAAGCCATTAAACTTACCCGCCTGTTTAATGCGTCATTCAAACTAGGGTATGTTCTTAGGTTGTGGACAGTAGCTAAAGTCATTATGATCCCCAAACCAGAGAAACCTTTAAACGTAGTTTCGTCATTTAGGCCAATATCTTTGTTGCCTGTATTATCGAAACTACTTAAAAAAAAAATACTAATGAAAGGACTGAAACCTGTCATTGAAGAAAGGAAACTAATTCTAGATAATCAGTTCGCGTGTGAAGAAAACCATTCAACTATTGGTCAAGTTTATAGAATTTCAAATGCGATTGACAAAAATATTAGAAAACAAAGAACCAGTCATCTTCCTCGATGTTGCGCAGGGTTTTGATAAAGTATTGCATGAGCTACTGGATTCATACATTCCAGATATATTCTCTGAAATAAAACAAGAGGAAGCATACTCTGAATTGAAAGAAATTAAACCAGGAATACCACAGCGAAGCGTCTAGGTACCCACTTTATATCTGTTATACACTTGTGACACACCCCAACCAAAACAAGACATAATAGCTACATTTGCAGATAATACTGTTATCCTAGCGATTGGCAAAGATCATAAAGGGGTTGCAAATAAACTACAAACATCAGTTAATCAAATAAATAACTGGAGCAACAGATGCCGTAATAAACTAAACGAAACCAAATCTGTTAATATTAATTTTATTAAAAAAAATGGTCAACAAATACCAATTAACCAAATTCTTTATGCTAACTCAGCAAAATATCTAGGTACTACATTATATGCAAGACTTCGCTGGAAGTCCATGTTAAAAAGAAAAGAATTTGATCTAAAAGGTAAGAAAACTGGATATTTGGTAAGCATTCCAACCTATAATACAACAAAATTCTTTCAATCCTCAAACCAATTTTTAAATAATCCAGAGATTCCAGAACTAAGTATTTAGGAACATTGTCGATGCTTTTTGGTACATTAGAAACGGTGGCCTTCATCGAGACCTTCAGATGGACACTGTTGACCAGACTATCACCAGATTCGCTAGGAGTCAGGAACAACGGCTCCACCAACATGTGAATGTTGAGGCGATCCAGCTTCTTGACAACATAAACCTGACAATAAAACTTAAGAGAGTGAAACCGTTTGAGTTAGCCAAGTGACTGTGTTAATAACAAAGCAAAGCATTGTGCGGTTTAGTGTTACACGTTACTTTAGTGTAATTAAGTCAACAGATCCTAAGGTATACTAGCGAGTAGAACTTTAGTTTTTAAGAATGCAATCTTAGTTAAGTTGGGTTAGAACAAAATTACTCATTGATCAACTTTTGATCAGATTATAAGATTAGTTAAAGTCTCCCTTTTTCAAAAAAAAATTAAATTAATTATTTGTCTCAAAGTTGCTCTTGATATTAACAATTTTCCCCGTTTAAATTATAAAAATAAGTTTAATAGTTTCAAAAAAAATATATTTAACTATTTAATAGTTTTCTTGAAAAATATAATTTTAATATAATGTTGACCTATAAAAATAAATATAATTAGTTGATACTGTACCTGCCTAATAGAATTACTTCTTGATATAAATAGGCCCCATTTTAATTAAAAAAAAAAGTTCGATAGTTTCTAACAAAATATATTTAAATATTTAATAGTTTCCCAGAACAAAATAATTTTATTATAATAATCCTCAATTTATATTGTATAAAAATAAATATAATTATTTAAAAATTGGTAATACGCCTACCTAGAACTGCCCCATTTGAATTAAAAAAAATAAGTTTAATAATATTAGAAAATAAATTGTATTTAACTATTTAGTAGTTTTCCTGAACAATATAACGCTTATTATTTAAATTCTATAAAAATAAATATACCTACTTATTTGATGCTTTACCTACCTCAAATAAAAATGTATTAACTTCGTCTTTAATTCCTTGGTCATCAATGATTCCTGAAGTAATTTTGGCGTTCAACAGCAAATCCAGAAACGCCAGCTTTTTCCTGTTCGAATAATTATAATTATTTTCTTGTTCTATATCGAATTTTTGAAAGTTTTCTGCTCTTTTGGAAACAATATTATCGGTAAAATTGTGCAACGTTTTCAATATTTTCAATTGTTTCCTACCAGAAGGGAAAAAGTTATAAAAAAGTGCGTCTAAATATAACCAGGGTCTCATTATCCTGTGCAGCATTATGTTTCCAATTTGATAGATAGCAGATACGTAATTTTTGTCCTCTTTGTTTTCCATGTTTAAAGCTGTACCCATAGACGTCTCTAAAAAGTATAATGTTAGTCAATGAGGTGTTACCTAGAGTCTATTGAATAAATATCGAATATTTTCCAATATTGAAAGTAGGTACATTTAGGTATCAAAGTTGAGGTTGCAATAAAAATTCGACATAAAATATCTACCGCTTCCAGATAATTTTCTAACTACGGCAAAATCGTTTATTTGAAAATGCATGATAGCACAGTTTTTATGGCACAGGTCTATATACAGGATTGTTCAAAGCAGAAAAAAGTAAATATTGATACCTTCTTATCTATATTTACACTAAAAAATATCGAATACAATACATCATAAAATCTAAATGAGCAAATCCTAAGGAATTAACCAATAATTCTATACCTCAGTGCCGAGGAACACAAAATTAATTTTTATCAAAAATAAAGACGGCTCTCTATGTGCACCGGCGTTGCAGAAATGCAGTAACCTCAAATTTTTTATCGAAACTGAGGGCGGGGCTTGTGAATGCGAAAGAGATTAGGCCAGACAAACTTTTCGTACGGCAAATTCCAATTCGCAGGCGATATTTTCAATGCGAACGAACGGACATGTCGTATAACACTTTTTCGTGTTCAAGCGCATTTACTACAATACACAGATAGCACTTATGGTCGGAGGGAAGCGTTTTTATTTTATTTCAATATATTTTATTTCATTTTCATTTAATTTATATTTATTTATTTTATCAAAATTAAAACAGGCCTTGCGGGATTTTTATATAAATTGTAAATTTTGCAATGTTTTTTAAAGTCATAGGGCTTATATATGGTTTAAAAGTAAACTAGACATTCTAAGTTAAAGTTTATTTACAAAATCTCTAGGTAAATATAAAAATTTAGGCTACGAATATTCTGATATATACACATATGAAAGTAATTATTCTGGTGTTCGATTGCGAATTTCCATTTTTCTCGGGTATCTAGCTTCAATTATTTCGGGTAGGAGACAGCTGTAGTAAAAAATTTTTAGCTTGATTTCATTTCATTAGTCCAAAATGAATCGTCCCGATGAATCTGAAAAAAATACAAACTATTTATATTATTATACATTGATATTTGCTGATTCAATGACAAACCATTTTATTACGACAAAAACATAAATAAGCGAAAATTGTCGCCTATATTGGTTTGAAACTCCAATATGTTGTCAGAAAAACATTTATCTTATTTTCAGAGCCAATAACACTCATCACTTTTTTAACTAATAGTCCTATTGGAGTCGAAACTTTAAAGTAACATAATGAACGTTGAGTTACGTATAGTTTTGAGTTTGTTTCAACTGCATCTAAAAATTTTCATCAAGCTTACAAAATGTTACGTTTTTTTTTCTGGATTGCTTCCAAAGGGTGCATTTGTAATGCAGTTTTTCGGCATTGAACTTCTACAATCATTTTTTACTTTATATATTAGTATACAGTGCGGATGTAAGTAGTCCCCCCCTATAATCTTTGGAATGGATCGATATTTTTTAACCAAATTTGGCACACTTCTATGGGACTATAAGTACTACTTTTTACAATACTTGTTTTCATTACAACGTCATCTGCATAAGCGTGATGTCATTTTGGGAAAATTTAAATAGGAAAGTGGGTTATGTGACACCAGTAGTTAATGGGAGTATTGGGTAAACTTTTTAAACTGCGCAGGCTTAGCATATGTCACGTGTCATGTCATCTATCATCTGTGGTGTTATATGTCGGCTGTCATATCATCTGTCAGCTGTCACGTCATCTGTCAACAGTGTTGCCAACCTATCAGGTTTGCGACTCGGCTAAGCGATCCAAGATGGCGGCCATCGTATACGATGGTCTGTCTCTCTCTATCTATCCGTTTGTCCACCTAAGGTCCTTTTGGTTATGCTAGATTAATTTCAATGACATGCAATTTGCCCCCCGTTTTAAATAGTAGCGAGGCTTTGCTCGGACCCTCTCGTTTTTTTTCCAATAGCAATGATTTATGCCCTTACGGCCATTGCACTTTAACGTTATTCTACTTTAGCCTACTCCCCTCACTAGGCCTCCTCCTCCAGTTCTTCACGTTACCAGTAGTAAGGTTGGACAACTTTTCGTACGTGACACTTAGGTCCTTTTGAAATATTAGCTCTCTTTAACGGACATCTTCTTCGCCTCTTTGATATTAGGCAAATTTGTTAGGTTAGACATCCTCCTGCATACCTCCTCCTCCTAAGCCACCCCTTTCTTTCTCTTCTCTCTTTCCTTCTTCAACACATCTCGGCTGGTTGTTGCAATTACAAACTTCCTTTCGTTCTCTTTTCCTAGGCTATCCTTCAGTTTTTCATGTCGCCAGGTGCAGGCAACTGCGCAGGATTAAGAACCGGCCGTCGTATGCGTTGGCCACTATCTTGGAACGCTTACCCGTGTAACAAGCCGAGTCGCAAACCTGATAGGTGGCAGGTTGGCAACACTGAATGTTTGGTAACACTGTTGATAGATGACATGATAGGTGACATGACAGATAACATGACAGTTGACAGATAACATGACGCGTGACATATGCCGCGGCCGCGCCTGCGCTGTTTAAAAAGTGTACCCAATACTCTCATTAACTACTGACACACGTTTGAAATTTATTTTAATTCTGTATGTAACAGTATATACATTTTTTATTTCCACTTAACATTAGGGAAGATATGGTCATTATATCATGACCTTCCCAGACAGCACACCAAATCCTTTGGATATCTACTGGACATCCCAATATCCACTGAATGTCCAGTCCATGGTGGATATCTATTTTATATCCATGAGATGTAATTTATAGACATGCAAATGTCCATAAATAATTGTAATTATATAGCAAATTATTAAAAAATTACGCCATTGTGCTCGCCATTGTGGCTAATAATACCGTTCAGATATTTAAAATTAATTTTTTTAAGGTGTATTCAATAACCCATGGACATCCACTAAATATATCAAACTAGGCGCGAACGCAAACCATCGTGGATATCCACTAGATGTAATTTTTGATTTTGCTTACTAAGTATAGATGGCGATACCACTTTCGCATCTACTCATGCTCAACCCGCCGTAATTGAGTTCGATCGAAATTTGTATACTATCAGACTCCATTAGAGACTGGAGTCGAGAATTTCCATTTATTGCTGAAGAGTCCTAATAAGGATGACTTTCTCCTTAGTGGGTAAAATCAAAGGCAGAGTGTTGAAAATATTTTTTTATCTCTGCTATGTTCTTTTGGCGTTATTCAATAATCATTGGTTACTTATGAACCTCTACTAAATATACCCATAAAATATTTTGCTGAATATCCGAATATCCTGGGATATACTCATAGACGGACATTTGGTTGGATATCTATATTACATGTCCACAAAATATATTCTGTGGATATCTCTGGGATTTCTTGTATTGTCTGGAAGATACCCATTAGATATTTTGCTGGATATCCATAGGGATATCTTCTATATTCTGGATATAGACGGACATTTGGATATCCATATTAGATCCACGGAATATTTCTGATATCCTGTGGATATATTATTGGATATCCACAAAAAATATTCTGTAAATATCTCTAGGATTTGGTGTGTTGTCTGGGTTGTTTCTGTACTTTCACCTCACTTACGCAAGTTTAAAGTGGACGTGCTATTAAAGGCTGACTTTAACCACAACCAATTATTGCATGAACTGCTAAGGTGAAAGTACAGAAACAATATCAAGATTTAAATGTATATAGTGCTAGATACAGAAGTAAAATACCTTTCAAACGAGGTATCACATAACTCACTTCCCATTTAATTTTTTCCCAAATGACGTCACGCTTCTGTAGATGACGTCATAATGAAAACAAGGATTGTAAAAAGTAGAACTTATGGTACCTACCATAAAAGTGTGCCAAATTTGGTTGAAAAAGATTAATCCGTTCAAAACATAATAGAAGAGGGACTATTTACATCCACACTGTATACATTATACAGTATGTCCCCCTAGGTTGGAATCATATGGAAAACTTTTTTATTATTAATTTTAGGAAAAAAGTTATACTTCATAAAAAATTCTGCATTATCTAAAACCTAGAATACAGTCATCAAATATCAAATTTTTTTTAGTGGTATACGAGGTTTGTCAAAAAATATGAGTTTTACTTAAGAGTAAAGTACCATTATTCTTTATACGACTGATAAAATTTGATATATGATGGTTGTATTTTAGGTTTTAGACCATGCTCGACTTTTTATAAAGAATAATGTTTTTCCCAATAATAATAATAAAAAAGATTTTCATATGCCGCCAATTTACGCAGACAGTTGGTGGCATATGAAAATCTTTTTAATTACTAATTTTAGGAAAAAAAGATATTCTTTATAAAAAGTCGAGCATGGTCTAAAACCTAAAATACAAATAAAGGTACTTTACTCTTGAGTAAAACTCATATTTTTCGACAAACCTCGTATACCACTGAAAAAATTTGATATTTTATGATTGTATTCTAGGTTTTAGATAATACAGAACTTTTTATGAAGAATAACTTTTTTTCCAAAAATTAATAAAAAAAAGTTTTCCATATGATTCCAACCTAGGGGAACATACTGTGTATTATGCTCAATATACTTATTTGAATGGACTGTGTATTATTCTTATAATTAATTGTTGACCTCAAAAACCGATAAGAATTATATCCCACAAGTTTACTAAATTATATATTCATTCATCATTATTTGCAAATGAAATTCATACCAAAGATTTAAAAAAAAGCTACACTTTCGGGATTTTTTCTAAATCAACTATTGAAAATTTCAATAAAATCGGATATGTAATATCCTTAAAATTTAATAATAAATATACACACAACCAAATTCATATGATATACTAAAAAAAAAAATTTCTTTACAAAAAAAATATGTTTTCATAAAACACTCATATTTCATTTTTAGAAATGCGGAGTAAAGCCATATAAATTTGTTTGTTTGTATTTCGGGTACTAGCGTCATATAAACTTATTATAAT